TTCGGTAACGCCGGGAGGACGTGGATGCGAGGCGGCGTTCGGTCGCTGGATGAGGATGTGAGGGGGTGAGTTTTTATTTGAGCCTGAAGCTTGAGTCACAACATCAAATCCTTTCTAATCCTTAGTGAGTCATAGCGTAGATGCTAACAAAAAGAGGCTGTCTTCCCTCATTAGTGTGCACATGTTCAAAATCAACAACGCATCTAAAATTCCCGGAGTCATCGACAAGAAGTTGGCAGATGGTATCATCATATCCTATTGCACAATGGTGCCAGATTCTGCTCAAAATGTGAGATGAGAGGAACTACAAGTGTATTAAATGTAAATGTATTAAATGTATTAAACACCTTTATTTTGAATAAGAAAGCTACTGGAAAATACTGCGGCAACATTTATGTTTATAGCTGTTACGATTGTCAGCGATTGTTTATAGCTGTTACGATTGTTTGTTGTACTTTTTTGGCACTTTGAGATGATTTGTTTTTTTTTTTTGCTACTTTGTGTTCAAAATTTATTTTAACATTTTAAATTTATTACAAAAATGTATTTATTTATTATGATGGTGCTCAGTATTTCATTGTGCATGCTCAACTTTGCAATAAATGAAATGTGGAAAAAGTATTATAATTAATGTAGTATAAATTAACATAAAAATGTAGTGATTCCTAATCTCACATATAATATGAATTATTTTTAGTGTTATGAATTATTTTAGTACTTTAGTATTTTTAGTGAATTAGTATTTAGTATTTTTAGTGAATTATAAGTGTTTTGCTTTGTTTTGTTTGATTTTTTGTTTTAAGTTTAATCAAATTATTATTATTATTATTATTATTTAATATCGGCAATACTGGCCATAACATGAAAATAATTATTGGCTTATCTGTATCTGACATTTTAATATTAGTGCACCATTAAATAAATAAATAAACAGACAGACAGACAGACAGACAGACAGACAGACAGACAGACAGACAGATAGATAGAAAGACAGATAGATAGAAAACTAGTTCTTAAAACACTACTTCCATGTTTACTTTTATTTTGAACTGCAAATATGTGAAAAAAATAAAAATTATAATTCAACAAAATAAAATTGTAATTCTTACCATATTTTTAATATCAGTGCACCTTTAATAAGAGTAAACAAAAATATGTAAGAAAAATAGTCTTTAAAAAAAATTATTTTTACTCCAAATACTAGTTCTTAAAATGTTTAATTCCATGTTTACATTTGATTTGTAAATATTTGTATTAACATTTTATTTTTAAATAAAGTGTTCAGTGGCACATTAGGTTTTGCTATGGTGTTGGCATTGAGTTAGCACTGAGAACAACACAATGTTACTGTTTCCAAGTATAATCTTTCATAAATGATCAACGATTTCAAAATAAATGAAGGACTTGTCACCTACAGTAGAATTACATTATCATAAACAATAAAATGTTTCTTCCTTAAAGACACGGCTCCTGTGATTATTTTCTTTCTGCCATGACTCCCTTTCTTCTATGAAACAAAAAAGCTTTTTTGTTTTTGTTTAATGTCCATACAATGAAAGTCAATGGTAATCAAATAGTCTCCAAAATATCTTCTTTTGTGTTCTGCAGGAGAAAGAAACTCATGCAGGTTTGAAACGACGTGACGGAGAGTAAATGACGATAGAACTATTCCTTTAAAGTGACTATGGAGTATATACTTGCCTTACAGAAGGCTACAAAATGCTATCTGTAATTAGCTGATAGTGTATCCAGGTCCCTTTTATTCCTCGTGCGGTTTTGGTATCAGAGTGGGACACACTTGTGTCTCGGAGGTGTTGATGGATGGCTTAACACAATATATAAATTATATAACAGCGGGTAAACTCAATACACCCATTATTTCCCCATGCTTTTTATTTCACCCCTGCAGAAGCTACAGTAATTTATGCCTCCCCTTCTTCTTCTTCATCCGTTTGGATGAAGAAGAGAGATACAGCCCACTTTGCTGACAACTGCCACCGAAAAAACACATGCAGAAACAACAGTGGATGTTTTCTCAGCCTTCACGCATGTTTTATTCTAGGGGCGAGAAAAATCTGAATTTAATTAAAGGCGCGGGTATTGATTTAATTGTAGCAACAGTATGTTGATAACTCATGATTGATTGAGGGTTTCTAGATTGTCAGTGGGAGGTCCGGAGCAAAATAACGACTCCTGGGTTTTTCTTTTCCATTAGCTATCAATCTTTTCCCCCCTTTTATTTGGAAAATTAATTTTGTGTCACGCATAAAACGACACTCAAATCATCACAAGTCTCCTTTGGCAACCCTAAAGGTTGCTTTTTATTACAAATGAAGGCAGATCTGTTTAAATGTCAGAAAGAGAGAGAAAGTGGGGAAAAAAGAGCAGATGAGAGTGCAGCACACGCCTGAGCCAAGTTGGAGAGGCAAAAACGAACTTCCCAGAGATGGATATTCGTGAACTTCCTGTGCCTCAGAACACATGATGTGACACGAATGTCCAACGATGGAATTTCTCAGACTTGCTTTTCCAAAGATGAAACTTCACGATTTTTTAATAAAACGGTGAAGATGCACACTTTTGTTTAAGAGTTTGGGGTCAGTAAGATTATTCTTTTTTAAAAGAAATGAATACCTTTATTTAGCGTTAAACTCAAAACGAAAGGCTTTGTTTAAAAAGGTTTTAAATCAATGCTGCTCTTTTGAACATTCCATTTAAAGAATCCTGAAAAATTCTGTATCACGGTTTGCACAAAAACATGAAGCAGCACAACCGTTTTCAACATAGATAATAATAAACCTTTCTTTAACAGCAAATCAGCATATTAGAATGAATTCTAAAGCATCACGTGACACTGAAGACTGGAGTGACGACTGCTGAAAATTCAGCTTTGCATCACAGGAATAGATTATATTGTAAAAGATAAACAAATAGAAAACAATTATTTTAAATTGTTATAGCATTTTACAATATTACTGTTTTTAATGTATTTTTCTTATCAAAACAATGCGGCTTTGGTGACCACAAGACTTTATCAGTCTTGTCTTGTCCACAGTTAGTTGTTTAAGTCAATAAAGTGCTATAAATAACTCTTATAGACATCTCTATTTTCAATCAAATAAAACAATGCATAAGTTACGATGTTAATAATGCAATAACATTCTAAAATTATTAATATAAGCAATGTTTATTAAGGTAGAAGTAGTGTGCTACTATTCAAATGGATGGATAGATGGATGGATAGATGGATGGATGGATAGATGGATAGATGGATAGATAGATAGTCCCCACAGTACAGTTAGGATAGAAACACACCCACACACAGGTACACATCCATATGTATTCAAAAGTAAAAACCTGTTGGATTATAATTGAAAGTGATGCTCTCGTATAAAAGTTGTTTCTCAGTCTCGACATCCAGAGTGAAATGTACCGACATCTAGTTATCAATGTGACGGCTCTTTAATGTTCCGCCGTGTTTTGTGACTAGTGTAACATACGCCGCAATAAGCGACACTGTTCCCTGCAGCCTCGTGGATTTAATTAGATTTGATCACTTGTTGTTTTATGTCAGTAACTGCGGCTCTTGGCACTTTTCCTTACAAATTTGCTCCCTCTTGCACTCCATCCATTTTCCTTCCTTTCTTGCTCTCTGTGGTGGTTCTGTTGCTCTCCTTTGCTACCAAACCATTATAAACAGTAGTTGAGATGTGAAAAGACAACATAACCACAGCGCAATTGTTTGTATCCATGCGGAAATACTGAAAATTGCCTTAAATTAATCTAAAAGACATGTCCCTAGCAAAAATATGAAACCACTGAATAATTTCAACCAATGATTCCTAAATGTTTAGGAATTACCAAAAATTTAGATTTTTTTTTTTGCAAAATAATTTCAATTTATTAGGATTGAGGAAATTAACATTAATTTCTGTTATTAATGTGGACTGTTTAACCAGTTTAAGGGGGTAAAAAAGCACCTAAAATGATTCATTTTGATTCAATCAGAAAACAGTTAATTAGTTAAACATCATTAAAATGTTTTAAATAAAATATTACATTTACATTTAGACATTTAGCAGATGCTTTTATCCAAAGCGACTTACAAATGAGGACAATGGAAGCAATCAAAATCAACAAAAGAGCAAT